CGGCAGTTTCTGCCCCAATCACAGGAGTCAAATGGGAACCCGGACATCTAATGTTTCTTCCGCTTCATACTTGATAAACTGATTCCTCCATTTGCAGTTGCATGAAAGTTTTCTCTGACAGCGACCTCCCAGATCTTGTAGAGTGTACATGAAGATATGATATATCACCGGTTTTCTTGGCCACGATCACAACGTGATTTGTAATTTGTCTCCAAGCATATGTAAATTGAACGCGAACCAAAAGTATCAATACAGCTTACAATGATCCCCATGGTCTATGCCATCTAGGTTCCAAAATGTGCTAGTCGACACAAATAAACCCGACCCACTAGGGATAATACGAAGTATCACTCCGTTCTTCTCATGATTGGCTGCTATACCAAGTGTAAAGCTGTCCTACCAGTTCCGAATACCTGAAGCGTAACTATCACCTACCTCTGCGGTATGGTTGCAGTATAGGGTCTTCCCTGCCAATTGCATCCGCTCCGTGTATTCAACTGCGTGAGTGTGTCTCTTGCAAGTGTGTCATATTTGTGGCATGAAAGAAACTGTATAGTGGGACCCACCCTAAAGATAACCGCGCCGCAAAACGCATTATAGCCCACGGAATTCAGTTATGAAGAGTGACATGCCACAAGGATGGAGTGCGACACTGCGAAGATTTGTCAACGTGTCTCTTTTGTACATACTCACTGTCTGGCCAAATGTCAAGTCTGATTATTGCATGGAGATCGGGTTTCATCATAACATGACGGCCCGTGTACTTTTTGTACGTCGAGTTTCTTTGAGTAATGCCTTTAGATACTTTAGTGATCCTACCAACCAGTGTATGGTCGCCGACACGATAAGCAATCTCGCAATCCTTCGGAATCGGAGGCCAAATGAGGTGTCACCTTGTCCTGTTGTAATGGCCCAACTTATGACTGTTGCCCGGTCTTGCTGCCTCGTGCTTTGGTTTCTATGTCTAACAATATATTTTGCGAATCTTGGTTTACTACTTAGTTTCGTGTTCATTTACCATATCCAGTCCAAGTACAATCATGTGTCGTACTGATATACTGTCACAAAGTATTGATGTCTATCTTTATTATTGGTGGCTAAGTCGTATAAATAAATAAGGGTAATTTCTAGGCGTTTGCTAGAAGCCGTTCCTGCGAGGGGTCAGGTCAGTTTGTAGAACAGTTCCATGCTCTTGCATGAGTAACACAAATCATGCAGGTCCGCGGCTGTCACCCATGGCGAAATGACACTGGCTGCTGGCATCTGGAAGTCATGTGGGCGGAACCCGGTGGGGGTCCTCTGGACGACGCGCCACTAACGTGACACAGAAGGTCGAAGTACCCGTGTCTGGTGCTTTACCAGACTAGCCTAAGTCTGCCGACTGAGAGTAGACCGTGATGAACTACCTCTAAACATATATTAGAATTCATAATAAGGTATATTTCTCCTGGTACCACGAAACCGAGTCCACAAAGTGACGGATCATATATATAGTTAATCCTTAATTCCGCAAGCTGTACGAGCCATGGAGGGCGAGAGGTTTCACACGAAAGAGTTCCATGCAGCCATTTCCCTTCAGAATTCTTAAGTGAGCAAGAACAAACATTTGTGCGAGATAACCTGAATTCAGATTATTTCGTGTCTTCTCAATCAGCCGCTTACAGGCAAATCGTGGGGAGAGTAAAGGAATGCAGTCGGAAAGGGGACCAATAAGGAAATCCATAAAACACAGAGAAAAGCAAGGTCATCGCCTACGTCTTATCAGAGCAAGTCAAGACAGGCCATATGGTCTAGCTGTCTGCAAAGGTTAAGCTCAATTCGCCGGATGGCGGTGGCTTCAGTGAAACGAAGCAATCTCGCGTTGTTCTGTCTGCTGACAACTTTGAATGCGTCACGTGGGTTTTCGCACAAGGTGCAATCGAGCAGATCCTGAGTGATTGAGCTGGTGGGAAGTTTAGGGCCACTATTTGCCAAGTTACCTGGAACGTGTTCCATGATCCTAGTTGAGAGCCTTCTCTCGGTTCGGCCAATGTATGTGCAACCGCACTTCAGAGAAGAGAAGATGGTTCACCCATAAGATCGATTTACTGGAACCCGAGCTGGACCGCTCAATACCTACATTACAACAATTACTGTCCAAGGAACTATAAACGATCCCTAGTTCGAACTAGTTTAGTTAAAGCACACAGAATATTCTCTGAAGAGTCCATCGAGACTGAATTACGATACATCGAGTCTACCCTACGAAATAAAGGCTATACGAGCAAATTTCTTGCCAGGTGTGCGAAGGAGGTTGCCATGAAAGAATATCGAATGGATGTCCCAAAGGGGGACAACGACAGAGATTGTGCTAACGATTACGCCGTCATATTGTTGTGCAAGTACGCAGCTGAGCTCGTGTTGTTACATCAAACCAAAAAGTTGTTTCATGAATCCAACTTGTATAAGCCTCACATAGGTCACCGCCTCATGTGTTTACCAATTCACCTGTACTTGCTGTAGCGCGTACCTTGGCCGACCCGAGAGAAGGCTCTCAACTAGGATCATGGAACATGTTCCACGTAACTTGGCAAATAGTGTCCCTTAACTTCCTGCCAGCTCAATCACTCAGAATCTCCTCCATTGCACCTTGTTCGAAAACCTACGTGTCACATTCAAAGTTGTCAGCAGACAGAACAACGCGAGATTGCTTCGTTTCACTGAAACCCCTGTCATTCGGCGAATGAAACCTAACATTTGCAAACAGGTCGATCTTGTGACTAGTTTTGACTTGCCCTAGTAAGACGTAGGCGATAACCTTGCTTTCTCAGTGTTTTATGGATGTCCTGATTGGTCCTCTTTTCGACTGCATTCATTTACTCTTCCCACCATTTGTCTGTAAACAACTGAGAAGACACGAAATAATCTGAATTCAGCTTATACCGCACGAAAGGCTTTGTTTTTTCACATCTCAGCACTCTTGGGTTTCCACTTGTTGCTCAATCAGTTGCATCCAGCTCATGTTGACATTCATGTGGGCTCCAACAGTCCATTTCCGATGCTCGCCCACACCACTTCTACTCAGGGTTCACTTCACATAGGGTAGTAGTACTTAGAGTAGATGGTCTGTTCTGGTAGCCACTTTTAGTGACATTCTGACTGCGGGAGAATATGGGTGTTGTTCCGACCGGAATACTATCTTTAACTTCGCTTGGCTTCATGAAACGGTTGCTGCGTGCACCTTGCTTACATGTACCTCGTACCTACCTCCATCCTCAACCACACTTGCCTGCTAAGTTGGCCCGTTGCCAACTGTCAAATCTACTACGCGATCCGTAACCTGTCTGAAATACTGTGCTGTGAAAGATCTTGCATACGAATCTTGCTTCTGCCCTTGCACTCGTTCGCACTTGTACGTCTGTTCTTCCTGGCTGTGACTGTACGCTGTGCATGGTACTGTGGACTAAGCCGCGTCAGTACTTTTCCTGGCACCTTCAGCGCACTGGCTAGTAAATTGGTTGAAGCTTATACGCTTGCAACTATTAGTTCCCGAGAAAACTTTTAGCAGAGTAGTTAGTACAAGAGCGCCGCACGACTTAATCCCGGAAATATTTCTGCATATTTTCAACTGGGTACTGCAGATGTGTGGATTTATAGCATCATGAAATGAGCGTAGTTACGATGACAAATCGACCAAACTGAACGCACCCACACACATGTCACCTTGTCATCTGTTCCTGGCCCGCTATCACGGCAAAGCCAGGGTTACAAACAGGTCTTTCTGCACACACAGTTGGGCCGTTGTTTGACGGCCACGGCTTCAGCATATCGCAAATACATATATTTGCAAAGCCGAATACGTGGACATGGTAGAACGACAATTACGAGTGAGGGTCGCAGAGCACATACCGGCGTGGGTTAGTAGACACGTTCCGCGGATGACCACGTCTGCCAACTCAAACGTGCAGCTAATGAAGCGAAATGATGTTCCGTACACACAATCGGCGTCATCAATCACCCGCCACCTGCTGGCTAGCAGTGCGTGCATTCCGTTTTATCTATGCCTCAATGAATTCTTTTAACTGTACATAATGCTGTGACCGTAGCTATCTAACAACTTGGCCCAACTCTAGATGTGCAGAAAGCCGCATTTGTGACATTGACTCTGCCGTGGTAACAGGCCGGAAACAGATGACAAGGTGACATGTATTTGTGTGGGTTTAGTCTCATCATTTTGTCATTTTAACTATGCTTATAAGCTTGTTTATCTCACCGCATGACTTACTACTACTAATACTGACGGGATCGACCAGAATGCGCTGCTTGCCCATTTCACTGCGCGGTCTGCCATATTTATGGCCTCATCCACTTCTTTTCACATTAGCATGTGGGGCAGTAATTTTTCCTAAAATTTCCTGTATTCTACTATTACCCGCGTCATCTTACCAAATCACGTAGGGGTGTCATCTACCAAGGAAGCCACCATCTTTGTTTCTGAAATTTTGAAGTGCCCATCTCATCCGTCATCTTATGCCGCAGTCACTTTCGCCCATCGACTAGACCAACGCTATCCTGTTGTTTACTTGCTTCACTTAATTTCCCGATCGACTGGTTTGCTACCAAAGGGGCCGGGAGACTTTTGTGATGACAGAACCACAGTTGGTCTTGAAGCTTTGGAAGCGGAAGGGAGCATTAAAGTAGCCAATCTTATGAGCCAGTAACAACCACTTAAGTGAAAGATGTGTGTTATCTACATATTCATTTATAGGATGTTAATAGCGTTCATATTAACACTGCAAGTCACTTTAGCTCAGTGCGCTTGTTTCCGCATCCATCTAACTGCGGTTAACAGCCAACTGAAATCTCTTATTGCGAATCAAACCATCCACACTTTACATGGAGATCAGTTTCATTTGCATCTCACCCACGATTCTTCGGTGTACCTTTGTTGAAACCGATCGATTTTCGTTCGATTTTCTTTCTTTGTCGTTAGTGGGTGCTTCCCGTTAATTGTTTTGTAGATCGTGTCCAAACTTCTTGGGCTTCTTACCAAATGGTGTCGTACCTGCGACCCTCTCGCACCGTTCAGCTTCACTTACTGGCCTCAGTATAGCGTCCATTGTCCTCCTGCACTGTTGGAGGATGTAGCGCACTCTACCACGCCTGCTCGCCACCACACCTTCGCATTCACTCATCTCACATCAGACGATTTTAAAAATGGCCGTCTGTCCGGATCTGATCTGGAGAAACCTCTTACACCGGCAGAATCTGTGGTGACTTCACCTACGTTGGACCAGTTAGTACATTCCGGACTTCACATTTCCACTTGGCTTCGTCTTTGTTCCCAGTCCCCTACCCATGTAAGTTCGTGTGTGTATCCTCTCGGCGCTGACTCCTTAGACCTTTTACCAGTGACCCCATTTGACTATATTTGTGCCTTGAGTTGGTCATCATTCGTTTTTAAATTCAATCCTTCGCCAACTTATTTGGTAGCAATGTCTCCGTAGTAAAAGTGTCATGGTGGCAACGTGGACTTTATTTAACCTTACTGTGTTTCCGCTCAACGTTGCCCTCATAACGAAGCTATCCATCTGGTAGTTAGTTGAGGTGTGCTGCAAGGTGTTTAGTCGCGTCACTCTTCCCAGAATCCACAATGATTTCGCTTACTTTCGAGCAATATCAGTTCTCTTGTGCCCATTTGAAATGTCTGTCACGCGGGCATTAGTATTTTAGATTCCCCCCATTTCTAATTGTCATTGCATCCTCCACAAGAGCAAGCTCCTTAACGGCGTTCTCGGAGGGAATCTCTGTTATATTTGCCACTTATGTATTTGGCTTTGATTCAGATAAACCGCTCACTGCAGTCGGTCGATTTAATTTTATGGCCACCATTTTTATTACTATCTGCACTCAACTGGAATTATCGAACACCATGCATGTGATGTGTTTTTCGTCACTGTATTGTTAGCGCTATTTTGCATACGCCGAAATTTCTTACTCGGTTGCTCTGTGTTTCCGTTCGTCAGTATTCGTAGTAGTGTCTAAACAACGGATCGAACCTTGTTCATTTCACTATCATTCCAATTCCTCACTTCAATTCCCCTCCCCTTTCCAGCATGCTTTTTCCTCTTCCGCTTTGGATGCATCCCAGTTGATCAGCAGCGGTGAGCTGATCCACTTTCTCAGCCTGGAGTCGGCTTCAGCTGCGCCAGCGAATCCCGTAACCACTACTGATCCGGGGATTAGTCGGAAACCCTTGAACGCTTCGTGGTCAATTCAGGTTGGCTGTATTTTATGCTCATGAGGTCACTGCCATGTCTCCATTAGCTACTTGTCTAGCTTCCTTTCCAGCTCCATTTCCTCTAATTGGCGCCGAAGTGCGCTGAATTCAACCACTATGAGTTCAAGTCAAGTCAAAGCAGCATAAGCTGTATGTATCCCAGTGGCTGCATTTTCAGCGCTTTACAACAGCTACTGCGGATGGACTAGAACAACGTTATTAAGACGCAAATTTGTCTAAATAGAAAAGAATTGCACAAGGTACACAAGTGTGTGTCGAATAAATGGCCCCCCAATCTGCAGGTAACACTTGCACGTTACTGAATTGAATCATTGGTATTTGCATACTACTAACGGTACGACGTCGAAGCCCGGTTTGTCAATCAGGACAACGATTCCTTAGGTTACAAAAACGCCCTTTGATAATTTTTGATGGTGTTCATGATTTCCTGGCCGAATTCAACAAACCGCATAGTACGCGCGGCATCACAAAGTTATTTTCCAAGAAGTTGACTGAGAACAGCATTAGTGACACAGTAAACAGTCCAACCATAGCAAATGTCATAAATATTTAATGGAAACTGATAAACTCATATCAGATTGAGTATAAACGATGGCTAGGTGTAGACGCAACGGCTGATTTAAAGGCACCGCGGCCACAACGAAGCAAGTGGGCAAAAGCTACCCGCCATGGCAACGAACTCAATTGGAAAGGAGTTATAAGATCGAAGCAAGATACAACTGCTAATTTACAACTCCCAATCACACAGCTGAGATGAAAGATGCAATTAGAGGCAGAAGCAGCGCTGTCACACTGAGCTTGTAGTGGCATCCTCTGGAGTTCCTGTAGACGGACTGTGGAACACAGGAGGATACCTGTACACTGTTTACCTTCTACATTCTGTGGCACCTCTGTTAATGGTTTGAAACCGGATTGTTAAGGCATCTAAACCAGGAAACTTCATTATACGCCTATCGATGATAAAAGTTCTGTCGACCTACCCTTACTGTCCACCGCGTATTTGCACTCGGTCTCGGTGATGGTCGCTAGAACCTGGGCTGAAAGGAATCGTCCCTATACCGATGAGCCTGGGCCAGTCAGACTAAGGCCGAACGCGCACGACTGGTCCGGCCGTGCGCACAGGCGAAACAGCGTGCCCATCGACATCTGAGAAGCGGATTAGTCAGTCGTATAGCGATCGGACTGCTTACGCCTGAGTCCAGTTTAAAAACCCCCATCGCTGTGTCAGCCGGCCAACCGAGGAAGCATCAGCCTACTTGACGAATGGCCAATCAGACGCTGGTCAAGAGGATTGAGCGTGTAGAAAGCATTCGGCCTAGTGCAACGGCGGGACAGCACACCTTTGGACGGCGGAAAAGCTGATGGGTTGGCCGTACAACCGGCAGATGGGTTACGCTTGAATCCATAGTAATATCTCGCACATCTATGCTAGGTAGGCAATCGTGGGACCATCGGCCAAATAAGCGGATGGCCAATCAGACACCGCCACGCAGTCTACTCGGGATGGCAACAACAAGGCTCAACGTAACCCGGGATTCAATAAGCGTTGATATATATTGATCACAATCTGTGGTACAGATATTGTGCCATGAGAATCATAGCGGAATAAGAAGACAGGATATGAATGTGAAAAAAAGAAAATGCAGCATTTCAGTTGCTTTTTTCACTCAGTTTTTGAGTCTTTTGGTTCGTTTGTTTTATTTGGGGAGGGAAGAGAAATCACCCCAACACGCAGATATACACGTCCGCCATTGACCTCGGTCCTGAGGCATAACTTCTAGGATCTCCAACTAGCGACACTCTGCATCTCTGAAATCCCAACCAGAGGGTCGGGAACAACCGACTGAGTCCAACAGTTTCATCAGCTTTTTCATGCCGCTTCTCCATGTTGTAGGTTGTCCACCGCACCTCCTCCTCCAGTCCTGTTCAACAAACGCGAACAATGCCCGACACGGAAGACGATGAGCCGGCATGCGCAGTACATGTCCAAGCCACCGCAGCTGACGCAGCGGGACGAGCTCCTCAAGCGAGTGGCTGCCTCCACCCAAGACACGCTGTCTAACTTCCACATTGCTTACGTGGTGCCGCCACCACACACGGGCAAAGGACAGCAAGCAACGGTATCAAAGACAGAGACGGCGCAGCTCAACGATACGAACAGGCCAAGTCTCGCAACCGTACAACAGTACAGCGCGGACAGTCGCACAATAAACCCGTCCTTTAATGGATGGGCGGGTGTCTTGGCGGCGACACAAGTGCCTCAGCTTAGAGAAAGCGAGGCAATCTCTTGAGATACGCATCGAAATCTCGTCTCCAACAGCTCCACCGACTGTGATGCAGCTTATTAGGTAGACAAAGCTCTCCGCAACCTACAGTGTTTAACCAACAAGAGTGAGTGCGGCTACAGGCATCTGAAAGTCTTGGAAAAGAGCTTCGCACTTGGATGGAGCAAAAGCCATCCCATACGTTGATGTTTCAATCGCCAAGCGGTTGAGTGCAAGTTGGACATCCTGTGGGTCGTCACCCAGCAAGACGGCATCATCAGTGTAGTTCAAGTCAACAACTCGGCTACCTGTGAAGTCAACGTCAGCGCTCAATGTATCTTCCAGAGCCATTCCTCAACAAACTGTGCCACACTGCAGACCTGTCGACAGAATCGAAGGCTGTGTGGATATCCAGGAACACGGCAATCGTTGGTTTTTGGTACCCAGGACGGAGCTCGAGGATCTCGGGGTGTGTGAATATTTGATCGATGCAGCCGTGGTCAGAGCGGAACCCAGCCTGTTCTTCCTACTGTAGCGATTCGCACATTGGAGATAACCGTCGATGAATGATGAACACCAGATCCTTACAAACGACGGGAACCAAGCTGATACCACTGTCGTTGGAGCACATTGTGAGCTGGCTCATTTTGAAGATGATGCCTGTCGACTTACTCCAAGATAATTGAACCTCCACTTTCAGCCGGACTTCTGAGAACAAAGCAGTAATTTCTCGAATCAGCGAATAGACACCATCTTTAAATAGGGCGGGAGGTAAGGCATCAGGGTCCGGTGCTTTATAGCGCTGCAAGGAACAGAGTTACTGCCAGGTTTTCTGGTGTGAGGGAGGATCTGTGGGGACAGACCACTCAACACCAGTGAGCACTCTACAGGAAGCATATGGAGCTGGTCGTCAGCAAAACTAGGAGCCAAAATGTTCAGGTCATGGTTTCAACCGTAGTTGAAGCTTAGTGATTAGTGGGCCATCCTCTTCGCAGGTCGTTTCGCTTACACCAAATAGGAAATCTTCGGTAGCTCGGATAAGATGGGTGTATTTTCTGGTAGTACTAGAAATACTAACGAGTTCCATTTCTCTAGCACGTCCACACCACCAGATTCCACGGTCCTTTTGTAGACTACTGCGCAATTCTCGATCTAGCGATCGTCGTTCTTCACTGCAGCTACAATCGGTCGGGACCGAGCGGCGTCTGTTCATCAGCGACAAGGAGATAACGCCGATCCAGTTTTTTAGCGGATGATGGGTAACTCCGCATCTATCAATGCTGGCAGAAACTAAGGCATTTTCAATTCGTATCCACTGTGAATTCAGATCACCAGAAGCTGGGGGAAGTAGTGTTGTTATGGAGGTCTGTTATTTGGCTAACATCTTAGGGTCTTGTAGGTTTTCTACGCTCGGTTCGTAGTGCATACGCTTAAATGGTCCTCCGAAACGCATGCATAACTTAGTTCGAACCAATGCGTGACGGGAGTCCAGACAACTTGACCAGTACGAACGGCAGTCTAATACGCTTTCGCGCCATCAGTAGCCTACCGCTATGTGGTCAAGCTGGGGCCACTCTTGCGTTTGAGAAGGCGGGCGCCAGGTAGCAGCCTGTCTCTTCGAGTATCGAAAACTATTGCTCGAAAGAAACAAGCGATGATCAAAACATAGAGTTCTTAGTCCATCTTCATTGTCTGATCGACTGCTACCGAAGCCAAAAGTACTCCCAAGATGGTGTTCGTTTGATGTCAGCGGCCCACTCGTACATTTAAGCCTCCGGCAAGAATAACAATATCAGGCATTTTAGCGGAACGCAGAAGGTTATGTGGTTATTGGTAAAAGCAATAACTCACTGCATCCTGGCCGCAGTTTGTAGGAGCGTAGGCGATGACAACAAACAAATCGCATGCAACATCTCGACGCTTAGTTACCTTATATAAACCTCGAAGTCTGACTGCACATAGCCGACTGTTGACTGGGATCCAGTCAAGCAGAGCGAACTCAGCCCTGTCACTCAGTGTAACCCCAACATCAGCCTGGCCATTAGCGGCAGCCTCTGGGTCACCGAAAAAGCGCAAAGGGGATTTGACCTCAGACTTTGCAGAAGAAGCCATTCTGATGACGGCCGTGCAGTCTTGCAATCTAGTTTCTTAGAGGCAACAGATATCTACCGAGAGCGTCTCAACTGTGTGGGTCAAGCATACTTGCCGTCCGATCTGCATCAGAGTGCGAACATTGAACACTGCGAGGCTGAATTGAGAACCAGGTCGAAGAAAAGCTGGGGCTTCAGTGGAGTCAGAAAAAGCTATAGTCGCCGGGCCTCGCACACCTAGGGTTTGACTCTGACTTCCGTCAGATGCGACCAGTGAGCTGCTGTTGGCGGTGACCGGGGAGAACATAAGTGTAGTTGAATAATGGGACGTGGGACAATCTGTGAGTGGAGATTCAGCAGTTGGGACAGGAGACTAGGTAGACATAGCAAGAGAGAAAGCAGTAGTAGTGTCCGTTCATGATTCATTAGTGGGCGCGATACTACCCGGTCGCCCAGACCGAAGTAGTGAGTTGTCTTAAGGGGCTCTACCCCGAGCCTTTGATCAGGGATCTAACCTACAAGGCAGCAGGATGATATGAGGATGTTGTAACCCGTGAGGAGCCGGTGACCAAACAAGTGGTTCGTACGCCTCTAGGTCCTGCAAAGTACCAGAGGCCAAACACACCCTGAAATTACAATGCCACTCGGGGAGAGGCAAGGGGCAATGACTTTATTTAAGGGCGATTCACATTCGCCACTTCACAGTGTTGTTAAGTGGACAATGTGACTTCTTCTAGGGAGAACGCTTGCTAAGGCGAAACCCCCATGTCGCGCAACACTGCCGCCGAACTGTTCGCTAGAGCGGGATAATCCCGAACCACCCGGCTGGCACCACGAGGAAGTTGTTCGCCCAGGCAGCCCATGGAGCCTCTAAACTAACTGTCCATGGGTCATCTTGCAACACTTGAGTAGGAAGAGGTCCGGAAGCAGGGAACCAACGGAATTGATCTCGAAAGTACTCCACCCAACGAGCCATACGGCGCTTCTTATTGTGAATCATGCCACCTGCGCTGTATCTGATTGTCTCACTGACGCCTGGTTTCCTGGGATCACTGGTGCGGATCAGCTGGAAGAGCTTGCCGTAGTTCCCTACTGCTCCCACCTCCATTTCTTGAGTCCGACTAGTGCACCAGGCTTCCTTGTCAACACGTATTCTCCGCTTTAGTTTGCGCCCAATAGCCCGTCTGTTCACATTGTGCTCAGAGCCAGCCGGGAGGTTTCTTCTGGATTCCAACAGGTTCACCAACCTCTCGGATACCCTGTGACTGATGTGTTGACGATTGATGGTACCACAAGCAGATGCTCCTGCATCGTGCATGGCGGCCGAGATCTTATTCAACTGAAGCTCAATGTCATTAAGAGAAGCGGGCGGCATTTCGGTACTCAATGCATCTTGCTAGGCTTGCTCGACCGAGGGCTGAAACAATTTCTCAGTTGCCAATCGGAGGAGATGCTTGGTGCTCATTTTGCTAAAGTCCATAGAGAAACGACAGCGTACCAATGCATGATCAGAGTCAACGCAGGTATTCTTGTACGAGCGGCAATCCAGCATGGAACCACGCCACCTGTAACTTATGGCAATGTGATCAACTTGGGTCCATTGCTGGCCGGATACAGGAGGACACTAAGTAGCTCTTCGGCACCCACTGTGTCTAAAAGCAGTGCTGCTAGGAAACAGCTGGCGCTCCGTGCACAGTTGCAACAGAAGCTCATCGTTGTCAGTCTTTTCGGAGTTAAGCCCATGATTACCAACTAGCTGAGCTTCTGAAGAGTTTAGACGATTTACTTATGCATTCGTGTTGTCTGCACTGGTAGCACTGTTCAGTAACATGTCCATTTCATGGCAGAATGTGTCCTTCGCAGCATCAGAATTACCAGTTATATAACCTTAGCCGTCTTGCTGTTACAGATCTTATTCTGGGTCTTGTATTTTCACCTGTGAACCCACCCCATTTTGTGCTGTTCTTCGAATTACACACCGGCTGCTGTGCGGTTTCATTCGTTGAAGGGCATTGAATTTGGTTTCTCAGATTGTTCGGTCTGCGGTCAAATTGTGTGTTGGCCACTGCTTTTCAGCTCACAACCTATTGTTTGCGTGCTGATTTCAACAGTAGACTGATCAAGGGGCGCGTGGCTGTAGACCATTTCGACACCCACAATTATCCACATTTGCTTTCTTCTGTTGGAAGACGATGCTATTCTTCGAGCTCCCCGGTGGTGTTCTCGCTTCTCCGCAACGCGATCGTGATGCATCTTAAGTGCTGGAATTCTACACCATCTCCGTAGGGATCCTCCATGTCGTCTAGTTCTTCACCAATGTTCACTTGTGCGTAGTGCTCGCCTCTTTCATTGGTGTCGGAGTCACTATCACAGCCGTTTCTTTCACCTTATCCAAACCTCTTCTTGCTGCTGTCGTTCTTTCAGGTGTGGTTTTCTGCTCGACATTGCTCGTTTTACATCCGCGTGCACAGCACTAAAATTCGTCATATCGATTCGTGTGAGAATCTCGACTTCGAACAGCTTTCACTTTGTACCTGTCCAGTCACAAGTGTCAGGGGCTGTTCCTGGATCGAATTGCCTCCTTACATCTCCCGTACGCCTCCGTCATGGTTTCACGTCTCTCTGGTGTTAAAATATGAGCGAGATACCTTGCAAGTAAGTCCCATTCATCTGGCCTCACCTTTTCATTCCCCACTCTGTTTCTTGTTCCCTTGTTTTATTTGTATTCGGCCTAGGCGCTTTATCATTTCCCTAAGCCCATGTCAGTGGCCGCGTTTTTTCTGGTTGAACACAGCTAGTAAAACTGTCAACTCCCTAGCGACTGCAATCATAGAAATCCGCATCCTTTTTACCGGTGATACGCTCGCATGTCATCATGGTCTACGATACCCACGCAACCATTCCAGTTGGAGTCTAGTACGGTGACATACAGAGACAGTGAGCTACGGCGTCTTCCTCTTCGTATTAGTATTCGGCCGTGATTCACATCACTATGTAAGCCCCATGGTATTACTCACCAGACTATGCTATCTACATTCTGCTCCTTGAAATCGATTTGTAGATAACATGAGCCTAGCTTGACCAGCTGCCTAGTGTTAACTAGCTCGACGCTTAGAGATCCGATGAATCGCCGAATAAAGGTTCAGTCTATCCATGAGCTCATTCGTATTGGACGTGTGCGCGAAGTTTCCGGGCGAATTGCGTTGTCGATACGGATCAATGCTAAGGTGGCAAATTATTGTGTACGTTTCCAGTTCGGTGGATACGTGAGAATCAAAAGGTTACCAGCGCTTGGCCGATTACAGTACGCATAAAGTGAAAAGTTTGACATCTGGAGCTGGGGAGCTGGACATCTGGGGATTCATGTCATTAGCAACACTCACGTTGTCAGTATACCTTGCCATGCGGCGAAGAGATAAGTTCTGTGAATAGGATTCGACTTTGGTGCCCTCTGTACTGCATTGATTAGAGCATAAAATGAGATGAAAATGCACCCTGTTTTCAGACGCTGCTCATTAACTCCATAAGTGGTTCGAAGTCGAACCGCACAGATGCGACTGTTCAACGGTATCCAGTAGAGAGATTCGTTTCAGTGGGTGTATTGTCGGCGTGGTCGAGAGAGCAGATAATGCTCTCCGACTGCCCATTCCGAGAGAGAGGTTTGACAGCAGTCTGACTCTCAAGGCAATGGGGTACATGGAAGCTTAAGGGACTCCACCAGGGATCTTTGGCTCAATAGCCTGACCCACAAGGCAGTGGGGAGCAAGTCCAGCTCGGGAGTGTTATTGCCAAGACCCATTGCTCGAGGCCTGTCACACACAACCTTTGAAGATTTAAAACAATGCACGTGTTTTGCGACCGTATTATGTTGCGCACCCGCAACCACGGCCAGCTGCAGGTGTTGGTAGGATCGTTTGCACCAATTTGACTAGGGGCTGTCTGGCTTGACGCAGGCAGTAGAAAACCATTGAGCACCGGAAGGTGCCCTCCCACTGTCAGACACGATGCCTGACACTCGTGCTCTAATCCAATCGGGATGTGAGTTTATAACCTGCAAACCTGTTGTTTGCCATGACTACGTTTTAAGGGAAGAGGGTCATCGACCTATCCCTAATCTCCGAAGATTAATGGATTGTGAGACGGTGTTAATCTGACCCTGGCGATTGATCTTTTTGGCGTGAGTTGCCCAGAAAGCACTTAGAAATTGCCACCTAGCATAGCTCATTGTTTCACAACTGTACGTAAAACAATCGCACCACTTCAAGGTCCAGTCTCTTCGTGAAGGGCATTGGATAGTTGTCTAGCTCTCATTGCTTCGATCGCCTCAGAGACCGATGAGCAACCCAAGTATGACGTTGATAATTAGTTTTAAGACAACAGTTAAGAGGTAAGTGCCCCACTGTTTCTCACATAACATTCTCTGACCATTCTTACTAAGCGGATGAATATCAAAACCGCCACTGTTCCACTGAGATTTATCGGACGGCTTTTTCAATATCAAGTGGCGTTCGTCAGGATGGTCTCATTTCCCCATCTCTATTCACTTTTCTGCATACTCTGCCGTGGTCTATACATATAAGAAGCCTCACAATGTTAGACTCGATTTGCTGCCCTATAGAGAGCCGGTCGTAATCGTTTTTGCTGTTTGACTATTGCGATGTGGTACAATCGACTCCAGAAAGTTTTACAATGGCCTCATCATTTAACACCCGGTTCGCACTTTCCAAATCCAAAATGTCTCATCAATGCCGGCTATCACTTGCAAGCCCTTTACGCATTGACAGCAAGAAACCGATCATTCTTCCACTTTCCAATCCTAGTAGCTGTGTTAGTAACGTCGAGATCTAGAGCAATGAAACTGGTTTACTTATTACGAAAGCTAGAAATCACTTATATATCTGTGACACCTGTGGCACGCAAACGGGTTCTCCGTTACTCTCACACTGTGTTCCAATGAGTACACACGGGGGACCGTCTTCCTCGCTGAACTGGTTACTACGTTTCTGAAATGTAAGCCGCTTTGAAGTCTTTGCACCTCACCCTATGGAGTATTACTGATGCCGGTTGGTATCAATGTGTCCACAACGATAAGATCAATCACTGATCTGGCATCAGGAAACTAGACTAATGTCCACCAGGGTCGGTTGCTGTTACTTCGTTATTACCTACTTGGTTGTAGTCTCTACGGACGTTCTTGCACTTGGCTCCATGCTTTATTAGGTTGCACTAATACTGTGTTTGCTATTGTTTACCAGTTGGTTTATTATATAACTGGTATGATGTGTCGGGTGTGCCCCATGCTGAGGCTGATGTCGCATTCATGATGCTTCTTCACCGCAGTTGGGCTAAACCAACTTACACGTAAACTAGATCTTTTTCATGTGGACAAAATTCATTACATTTTATTTGGCTTGTTCTGCGTGTTTGATAGTCTTCTCCCAACTTACATGTCGCTCATGCAAATTGTGGTGCACTTGCGTAATTTTATCGCGTGGTATTTTTTAAAATAACTTTCGGACATTTTGTACTTATCGCGTATCCACATTTAACCAATTGCTTCCATATGCTCATTTAGCGAGTATTTATATCATCATATACGTTTACTTTATTCAATATCAGCATTTCGAATGATTGGCTGTTGTTTGACATCCCAGGTGTGATTGCGCTTGATGTGCATGTTGACAAGGTGCCTACCTGTCTATTACCCACTACCTCGTCCATACTGGCTCCAGGAGACAGTTGGTCGTTGCTGGAGGGGACAGGGTGCACGTTCGTTGTGGCCGTGCTAGGCTCGAAGAGTGGTTCCATGTACTCAGTGTGGAGCGGACTACGGTCCAGCCACCGCCTTGTGTGCGGTTGACTCCCCAAATACAGTGTGCTTGTGTTTGCCTGTGAAGGAGTGTGGGCCGGCTCCGTTGATAAAACGTGGTTCCCATCCGCATGCCTCCCGATCTTATTCCTTCGGGTTTACACTGGATATGGGGTGTGTGGTTGGAGCTGTGGATGGTGCAGCGTAAGCCATCCGTGGTCCCTCTGTAGGCGCAGGCGTCCTGTGGCTGGCCACAGTGACAGGCAAATCCGAAACCGGATGCCGCCAACCATACTTTGGTTCAGTAACTCATCGCGCTTAAACTTCTCGTCTATTGTGCAACTGTTCATGCTGTACTGTTGTACGGATGCGAGACCTGGACCATTCGTAAAGGTGACTTGCGCTGACTATCCGTCTTCGAACACCGCTGTCTGCAGTCCATTGACCATGTGTGGTGGCGGCACCACGTAAGCAATGTGAAAGCTGGACAGCGTGTCTTGGGAAGATGAAGCCACTCGCTCGAGGAGCTCGTCTCACTGCGTCAACTGCAGTGGTTCGGACACGTATTGCGCATGTCTGCCCAGCGTTACCCCCGTCGTGCGTTGTTTGCACTTGCTGGACAGGGCTGGAAGAGACGGTCTGGTGGACAGCCTACAAGATGGAGAAGCCGCATGAAATAGCTGACGAAACAGTTGACCTCTGTCGGTTGTTGTCGACTATCTGGTTGGGATCCGAGAGATGCAGATAACTGCTGGTTGAAGACCTTGGAAGCCATGGATCAAGATCGATGTCACTGGCGGGCGTGTGTTGCGGTGTCCCTCCTCCCTCCCCCTAAGAAAACTTTTAAAAAAGATTCCAAAACTGTGAGTGGCAAACTAGACAAAAATAGTTCTCGTTATTGTTATTTTCTTATCATTCATACTGTTTTCCTATTCAGACATGATTTTGATGGCACAATATCTGTAGCACAGATTTTGAAATATATATATATATATATATATATATATATATATATATATATATATATATATATATATATATTGCCCCATGCTGAGGCTGATGTTGCATTCTTGATGCTTCTTCACCGTAGTTGGGCTAAATCAACTTACACTTAAACTAGGTCTTTTTAAGCTGGATAAATTTCATTCCACTTCAGTTGGTTTGTTCTGCGTACTTGGTAATCTTCTTCTAATTTGCACACGTCGCTCATGCAAATTGTGGTAAACTTGCGTAATTCTATCGCGTGGTATTTTTTAAATAACTTGCGGACATTTTGTGCTTTTCACGGATTGGCTTACAACAAATTAACTCCATATGCTAATTTAGCGAGTATTTATGTCGTCACGTAGGTTTACTTTATTCGATATCTTTTACATGATATTGGCATTTCGAATGATTGGCTGTGGTTTGACATCTCCGGTGTGGCTACGCTTGATGTGCATATTGACGAGATGCCTACCTGTCTATTACCCACTACCTCATCCATACTGGCTCCAGGAGACAGTTGGTCGTTGCTGGAGGGGACAGGGTGCACAGTCCTTGTGGCAGTGTTAGTATCAAAGAGTGGTTCCGGATATGGGGTGTGTGATTGGAGCTGTGGGTCGTACAGCGCAAGCCATCCATGGTCCCTCTGTAGGCGCAGGCGTCCTGTGGCTGACCACAGTGACAGACAAATCCGAAACCGGATGCCGCCAACCATGATGTGTCGGGTTATGGTTTTAATGAAGCTGCGAGGAGCCGTCTTGCTTATTCCACCATACCTTCACACTATGGCCAGTTACTTTTGGTCTTTTTGACAACTTGTGTGTTTCTTGATCCTGTTTGTTTGCCTTGGACACTTCTGAAC